CAAAATATATTCTAATTCAATGTTTTATATCAGAAAAAAAAGGGTTCTTTTCTAGTATGCATTTTGGCGGTACTAATCTCCAGATGGTGCTATCATCGAGTCTCGGCATATGTTTGGCTTCCTTTTTACAGGGATCAGAAAACATGGATGCACAATGGAAAAGTAGCAAAGCATTTTTAAATTTTTCAAAGTTAAAGAGAAAAAAAATCACAGAAATTACATAAAATAAGAAGTAAATATAATATCACTCTTTTATACACAATTTGTTACATGAGTGAGAACACCCACTATTTACAGCATGAAATTTACAACGTGATAGAGCAGCGTGAAATTGATAAACAGATTTCGGAATGGTTAGAGAAACAAAGGAAATGCCTTTATCTATTTTTTGCAGCAATTCCACTTTTTGTTTGATGGACATCGAAACATACTTTCGTTTTGTAGATCCTTTAGGAGCTCCAGCATCGGAAATTCTATTTGACATGATCGAAAGTTCAAGCTTACTTTTATAAAATTGCTCTAACAGTCTGCAAAAAATAAGCCGGATCCAATTCGAAGATTAAGGAAAAACGCAATCTGCAACATTAACTGAAATAGATAATTAGATATTTTAGATTATACCGTCCGTTATACATTAAACGCGCATGCGTAAACGAATTATGCGCAGCCGTAAAGGTCTTACGCGCAGGCGTCAACGCGTCGCATGCGCAGAAAATTTGTATCTTTGAGGTCCGGATTATAGACCATTCCGGATTATGGGTGTCCGAATTAACGACTTTTGACTGTATATCAATAGTACAAAATCTCATATCCAGAAGTCCAGTAACCGGAATGATCTATTCTCTCCACCTAATATATACTTATATTCCCCCTTTTTTAAAAAAAAAATTTGTTCTCTTGACATAGTGTAGGAACAAATATGATATTTAAGTGAAAGCAAGTGTGGCATAAATGGATTTATGTTCCAATTAACATTTAATTATGCCCTTGAATAAGATCATCATAATACATCCTGTGGTGTAGAAAAATTAAAATTTCTGCTGCTCTGTGCTTGCATTTTAACAGTATAATAAGTCATCCAGATTTCATAACGATCTGAAAAACTAAAAAATTTTAAAACCAAATAATTTGCAATTTTTATTACATATAAAATTGATGTTTAAAAATTTAGTATATAAGTACCTGTATTATATTGATCATTATATTGTATAATTTTAATTCCATGTTTTTAAAAATATTACAATAGCTGCATATTTATTTTTTTCTTAGGATTGTTTTCTCTATAAATTCATTTGGTACTCTTCTGTTTTTGTGACCAGATTCAAAGATGTATGTATGCATGCACATATAAAAATGTATGTGTACATGTATGCATGCATCTATGTATGTATACATACACACATTTCTGAGTCCAGTCCTGATATCAAAAGAGTACCATTCTTTTATTTGTGTTACATGTGCAACAGTGAAGGTGAAAGTTGAGACAGGAGATACGAATATTGAACTTCTTTTCTGAGGTGTTTTAATATTTGAAAAAATATGTTGCATTATTTAGTATAAGATAACTGTAATTCATAGTGCATAATTTCAGTTACTGTATACAAATTATGTGTTTAGAAATTGTATAATTGCTATATGTATAATTTTATTTTTATTGCTATATATTCTTTTTTTTTTTTACTGCTTATATGCGTACAGAAATAAAAGTTTAAAAACCAAGAGTAGTGTATGAGCCACTGTATAGAATTATTCTTATTCTCATATCTATGTGTACACTAAAGAGATAAAGTTATAAAAAAATATTTAAAGGCAAATTATGATTTAATATCTGTCATGATTAAAATACTACATTAAAAAATTATGCATTCAACAACTGCTTTAGCATTATTATAATGTATGCATTTAGTTACTACATATATAAATATATTTAACCCTTTGGGTACTCATCAAATTGATGAGTGAGACTTGTCATCTGCTTACTTGGGTGAAGATTTCAATTTTGTTTCATGTATATATTTATTTATATTTTGTAACTAAAATGTTGTTTCAAAAATATATTTATATCACCAATATAAGCATATTCCAAATAAAATGTATTACTTTTACATATTAATCCATATAGTGACAAATTAAATCCATCCCATGGGCATAAAAATCTTCAAATAATTCAGTACTCAGAGGGTTAGCACAGTTTTAAGCAAGAACAGACCCATTTATTTGAATAATATTAAAATAATGAAAACAGAAGTACTTCATTTTTAAACAATTTGATACATACAAACATTTCAAGATGCACATTTATTTTCCAAATGTTAGGTCACAAGATTATCGTGCTTATGATTCTTTAGCATTTTTAGATAATTCTTCGAAAATAAGTGGGAGTAAAACAGTCATCCAAATTCAAAAGCTTTTGACTTTGACTTATGACTTACTTTTTTCTGGTCATTAACTACCAAAGAGTTTTCGCCAGTAGATCGCATTAAAGTGCACTAGGCAAAGATATTTTCAAATAAATGGTACTAGGGAAGTACCAATACCCGTGGGCGAAGAAAATTCAGCTGCGTGAGCAGGCATATCTTAATACTTACGAAAGTAGGCATTCATCATAATCAAAAGCTTTAGAAAGTCGAAGCTAATGCTTTCATCAGGTTTCTATTTCTTACTGGTGAGGAAATCACCTTTTTCATCACCATTAGTTCCACAGTGGAAAGATAACCACTGAACAGTTCTGAGCTGAAAGTATCTCAAAATTTGTCTAGGCGTCTTAAAATGTTTACTGGGTTATTTTATGAGTTATCCCACATCAACATTTTAATATATTGATTCTCTGATAATCATTGTACTTTTAATATTTACTAGGAGCTTTGTTAGTATAGTTTTGCTACGGAAAAATACGCAAAAGATAGATTTCTTAAAGTTTTAAAAGTAATTAATAAAAAAAAGACTATTCTTATATTTTCTTTATTGAATATAGATCTGATATACAAGTAAGATCTAAGATTAAGTAAGATTAAGCAAGTAAGATTTGCCTACGGAAAAATACGCAAAAGATAGATTTCTTAAAGTTTTAAAAGTAGTTTAAATAAAAAAAGACGTATTCTTAAAATATTTTTCTTTATTGAAATATAGATCTGATATACAAGTAAGATCTATATTTAATAAGATCTGATATATAAGTAAAATCAGTACTTTACTGTTATCAGGACCATATTCAGAAATGTATGTATATATGCAAGTGTGTATACACATACATATATACATGCAGACATGAACGCACATACATTTCTGAATCCAATCCCGATAACAGAAGAGTACCGTAAAATCTATTTAGCCTATTCTTTGTGATAAGATTTCACACTGAGAAAAATTATTACCATCTTTCATAATTAGTATTTATAAGCAGACAAGTGGATAAGACTAAGGAGCATTGGTAGTTTGAACACTAGTGGACAGGCTAGCTGCATGGGATATTTCTCGTGTGTCACATGAACAAAAGTCATTTTCTGTTAAATATACTTCATGAAAGTCTTCTACCCTCAAGAAGATACTGTTTTTATGCTTTGTAATAATCAATTAAGTAGATAAAGAAACATTCTCATTTACTACCATTGGTATAAAACTCTAGAATAATCTTTTTTAAAAAATCGAACAGTCTCTTATCAATTGTAATATTTTTATGCATATTCTGATTTATGAGTACAAAAAATTTATTTATCAAAAAACAACGAATTTATTTTTTGATATTTATAGTTTCTACTGAAAGAATACAGAATCATGAAAACTCACCATAATTCCACAATCGGAAATGATACCAAATTATAGGAACATAGGCAGTAGATGTGTAGGCAACAGTATAAAATTTATTACTCCTTACAAAATAAAAATTAGAGGCATCCAATGCTGGTAGCTGTTATTGGAATATTTTATTTATATAGAAAAAGAAAATGCTTTGGATTTCAAGAAAACTTACAGAATTTCGGCTAGGGATTAATACATGACATCTGAAATCATAAGCAAATGGAATTAAAATTGCAGATTAAAGACTGTGATTTCTTAAAATATAATTACAAACTCTGGGGACTAGTTAAGGTGATAAATTATGACATATTATTCAGAAAAATCTTGACAGTAAAAGAAAATAATGTATATAGCAACACATACAAGTGTAAAATGCTCCACAGACTCGTCATGAATACAAATTACTTGATTACGCTAATGTTGCAAAACTTAAAAAAATACATCTTTATTTTTACATAACACAATGAAATGAAATAGAATTATTTAGATGAAGAATAATGCATAAACAAGTTTCATGTTAATTTCTGAATTATTTTTTTCTTTTGGGAGTTACTGGGTTACCTGATGAGTTATCCCACATCAACATTTTAATATATTGATTCTCTGAATAATCATTGTACTTTTTATATTTTACTAGGAGCTTTTGTTAGTATAGTTTTGCCTACGGAAAAATACGCAAAAGATAGATTTCTTAAAGTTTTAAAAGTAGTTTAAATAAAAAAAGACGTATTCTTAAAATATTTTTCTTTATTGAATTTTACGATGTTTACAGTACATGAAATAATAAGAACTTAGATATCACCAAGCATTTTCAAATACACAAAGAGCCATGAAATTTCGCAATGCAATAATTTTTATCAATTATTATATTTACGCTTTATTTCAAAGCGTATCAAAAAGTTATTCGGTATCGAGATAGCAAATTGAGTGGAATATAAAGTTGTATTTGTTTTCGAAATTAAGAGTTACATACTTCACTTATCGCCCCTACAATAAATTAAATATGAAATCATATCAGCGTACCACAAAATAACAAAAACAAATAAACTACTTCTACCCAAGAAGTACAAACAAGTTACCATAACATTAACAAGTGCATTTCTTGTATGCTAGTTTTGCACAAAAATTGCGTTTGGCGATCGGAAAATGAAGCCAAAAGTTCCTGGCGCAATGGTCCTCTCTGATTGGTTGAATTTCTCCAGTTCCCGGCGGGTCTTAGCCGCCCGTACAGCGCGGAGTCTGGCTTCTTGTAGCAATATGCGATTTATACTGTAGTATGCAAAGAATCTTCCTTACAGATTCTTTGGTAGTATGTTAAGTTGTCTTTGAAGATGACGGCCGTAGTAAACAGTATGGCAGAAGATTCAATAAACGATATTAGGTTAATTGATGAAGTACGGCAACAGCCTGTTTTATGGGATAACAGAACGAAGAGCTACAGATTAAAAACTGGGCAAGGTGCTGCTTGGATACTTATAGCCAGCAGGCTTAACAGGAATGGTATTGTATGCCTTATTTTTTCCATGAATGTGTTGAACTGCAAAAGCTTGATTATTCCTTATATGGAAATTTATCAAATCTCAACTACTACTTTCTGTTACAGGTGACAGTTCACAACAGTAACTTAACTTATTACCAGAACAAATTGATTTAAAAGTTTCCAAATGTAATATTGTTCATTCTCTTATTCAGTCTAGAATTGCTCAACGCAACAAACGTAAACCAAGCGCCCACATTTGTACGGGAATTTGATGTCGTTAAGTAATGCCAAACAATTCAACTAAATATTAATGTCTTATGTTTCCTGTTCGTTAAAATGGTACTCCTGAAAGACCAGGCTCTAGTGTAGAATTGGGTGCCCCTTCGATTAGCAACAATTTTTTTTTAAATTTTGGTGATGAAACCTCAATTCTGGTTACCACGATAGTTTTAACATTGTTTCAGCTTCCTGATTTTATTTAAATGAAAATAGATTGATGTGTACATGGACAAATTTAAGGCAGTGCGCAGTGCCTAGTTTGTGCAATTCTAGGATGTTTTTTTAAGTGAAAACAGATCGATGTTTACATGGACACAGAGTTTGTGCAATTCTTTGACTTCTTAATTTGGTTTTTAGCGGCCATCTTGAAATTGCGCTCTCCTGGCGCCGATCTTGGCGTCAAAAAAGAATCGCCAAGAAACAAGGGGTACCCAATTGTAAACTTTCACTCTGAAAACAATCCATAATATTCTGCATTTTGCAGCAAATACTCATATATCTTAATAGTTCTTCAGTGTTTCATAAGTCTTTGTCAGTGCACTATATCAGATTGTAAGAAAGAATTTTAATAATGATATATTAAAAATCATGCTTATAGCAGCGATTTATATAATTGCTTGGTTTTAACTGCTGGTTTTATATTATTTGACTTTTGGTCAATAACAAACACGCAATGAATGTATATATAGAATCTTCAGTTTTAATAAATCAAGTCATATGTAAATTCTGAAAGAAACTCTTAAATATACTTTGAAAATACAGTAGTCATTTTAAAAGTTGCATATAGTTAAAAATATGACATTTTTAACCTTTCAGTTGCATTTTCAATATCTAGTATTTTCGATTCTGTAGTTAAAAAAATTATAACTTTCTCTGAACTATAAACACACACACTTCACAACACTTTCTTTTGCTGCTGCTTCTGAGAATGTTTCAATTCTTTCCTGTTGAAATTGCTTTTTTGGGGAGGGAGGCTCTGGTAACTTCTCCACGTCTTCATTTTTAATTTCCAAGCCCAAAAGTTTTGCTTAGAAACCCAATATAATAAATAATCAAAATACCCTTAGACTCAAAGCTTCAAAAACACTGCAACACAATCTGGCCATAATTTCTTCCAATTTAGCAAATAGCAATAGGCCAATGGCTGTCCTCAAGTATATAATGTAAATTTGTAACTGCCTATGTCATTCTATTTCTATGTTTCTAGCCAAATCACCAGCTCAAACTGGTTTATAGTTCAAGAATAAGTATAAGAAGTTTATAGTTCAGAGAAAGTTATAATATGGAAGGATTTTTAGTCATTTTCCTTGATGTGTGTTACAAATCAGATTCCCAGAATTATTGATACAAAAATTTAGATATTATTAAAACAATTTATTAGTTCTACAAATGGACATTAAGACACTTAATATACCTGTTTATTAAATCTTTATCTGCTGAGAAGAAGAGTGTTTTCGTGTAAATAATATTTGGTGGCTTTCTGTGCCTCGTCATAATCTTCAGATTCAATTGCAAAACTGAACTCGCACTAGGCATTTTGTCACGTAGTGCAACCTCTGTTGGTCCTAGATTCTGCTGCTTGATACATATCCTAATTTTAAAACTTTACTGTAAATTTCTACTTTGCAGCACCTTCTCCAAATAAAAAAAGATTTGCTGTTTGGTGGTTCTCTAAATTCTAAAAATTTTGCCATAATGAAATCATTTGTGCAATAAAAACATAATAAGAAGTAACTTTTTTTAGCCAATTAGTCAGTGAAGCAATTGTTTTAATGTCAGTTACAGTTCCTTTGAAGTACATCAAACCTGCCAGGCACTATAGCATTCAGATGGAAACATTTTGCTGATTTTTTAGAAAAGCCTTTTTTTAAAAAAAATTGTTAAAGGGTCAATTCTCTGCAGAAATGGATAGTCAAAAGTCCCTCTTGAATTATATACTGTACTGTGATGTTTTAGTTTGCATCATTCATCTACTCATATACATTTCTTTTCATAAGAATACTTGCAGTTATTCAACACCTATAACAAGATGGTATAGTGTTTCACATCTTAAATTTTATGTGTAGCAAAATTGAAATTGTCTCTTCATTTGTGGGAAATATTTTTGCTGTTCTCTTGTATAAGCAATCCACAGAAAAAAATATACAGGTGTGTTTTGAACGTTTATCTCTGAACAAAAGAAAAAAGTCTTGGATAATGATTGATATCTTGAGTTCTGAATAGTCAAGTTGGCAACAAATGATTTTCATGGTGTTTTGAGATGACCTCTGATATAAAATTAATTCCCAGGGACTTCTAAAAACACCATTTTAACATTTTCCATAATTTAACCCTCATTAACAAAATCTCGCAGCAAGTGATTTACAGGATCATGAATTTGACTCGCAGTCAGAGTCTAGGAGTAGCGTTGGCACCTGAGTACCTGGGCTGAAGGTCGTACCCCATGTAGAACAGTTTAACTTTCCTAATTGTACGAAAGAGAACTAAAAAGAGATTCTAGCTGACTGAATTTACAGAGATATAATAATAATTAGATATTTGAACATGAGATAACACCCTGCATTTAGAGACCAGAAAAGCCAGTTTGAGCTGGTGATTTGGCTAGAAACATAGAAATAGAATGACATATAGGCAGTTACAAATTTACATTATATACTTGAGGACAGCCATTGGCCTATTGCTATTTGCTAAATTGGAGGAAATTATGGCCAGATTGTGTTGCAGTGTTTTTGAAGCTTTGAGTCTAAGGGTATTTTGATTATTTATTATATTGGGTTTCTAGGCAAAACTTTTGGGCTTGGAAATTAAAAATGAAGACGTGGAGAAGTTACCAGAGCCTCCCTCCCCAAAAAAGCAATTTCAACAGGAAAAGAATTGAAACATTCTCAGAAGCAGCAGCAAAAGAAAGTGTTGTGAAGTGTGTGTGTGTGTGTATTGTGAAGAAACTGTCTGCAGAGGAATGAGAATAAAGAGATGATGAACTTGGCTTTTTGATACACAAAATTTTTGAAAAATGGGATAAGGTGTAAAATTTTATGTTAATGGTATCACCTTCATAAAGTAGTAGTAATTTACAGCAGAGCATTTCAGATAAGTCATGTTTCACTTAAGAAACATTAAGTGAAATAAACGAACGATTAGCATGTGAAGAAGTGGAAACAATCTAGCACTAGGTAAATGCCCATCCCATTTTCAAGTGATGCATGGCCTGTCAATGTGGAATATAAATTTAAAGTACTATTAGTCTAAATAGCCATTTATCTGTAGTATGCATTACAAGCACATTAATAAGATCCTATTATGATGATGATATGTTGCAGCCATATCTGGTCGTGTATTTCAGGGCATTCCAAGTAACATTTTCAACAGGATAATACCAACCACATATTACTTGACTTACTCTGAATGCACTGCAAGGTATACAAATCACTTGATTGACCTTGATCTTCTCACTAATCAAGTATTTATTGAAAATAATTGAGTTTGATTAATGTCTTCCCTCCTCCACAAATGAATTATGGTATTACATCAATGATGTATGGTGAATGATGCTACAAGACCTAACTTCACTGCTCACTCAATGCAGTATAAAGGGTGTTCAAGAACATATTGCCCAAAATGGGGCCACAGCATGTTACTGGTGTCCTATACAGCTAAGTAGCTTGACATTGTACATTTTTAAAAATTAAATCATTTGTTAAGAGCCTGATTATCTATTAAACAGATAAAGTCTATTTCCAATTATTCTTTCATGGTGTGAAATTTGCCTCTGCCAGGTAGAATGTGGTGTGGCAGAAAACTTTCTTTTCCGTTAAGTAACCAGTATTTTTTCTTAAGTAATTTCTCTCATCATCTCTGAATTTTAAGATTTAATTACAATTTTTTGTTGTGCAGATAAACTGTATTTATCAAGAACATAACAATGATTTTGCCAATCTAATTTCAGTATTGAGAATAACTCTGGAAAACTTAAAAAAAGGATACAATGTGTGTCCTTATATGCCAGATAATATGAGTCTAAAATAATCTATTTCCAGTGCATTTACTAACATCCATGAATGCTTGTTGATATGACAAGACTATAATCATTTTTGCAATATTTTCATACTTTTGAGTAATGGAAGATCACAAAAATAAAAGATTAGCAAATAAAGAAAAGAAATATGTCAAGAGGACACTTGATGTCAAAAGTCTTTAATCCGGACTCGTTGGGACTTTGGTGATTCCGGATTATAGATCATCAGTTTAAATCTGGTAAGACGCTGCGAATTAAATTAAAAATGAAATCATTTATGAAATAAAGACAATTAGATCAAAGGTATCAAAATTTAAAAAACGAAGCTTATATTTATGTTTACTTTATAACATTTTCACTTAAGTTGTAAGTTGCTTTTTTGTGATAATACTTTCTCTTTACTTTAAACAGACGGAATTTTTTCAGTTACAGTTCGCTGTTCAAGCTGTTTCGTACCGAGAATACCGACTAACTTGTCAATCGAAATTTTGTTTTCATAACTCTATGTCTTTCTTCACTATGGGGCGAATTATAATGGAGCCTTTGATTAATCATACAAAGACGAGTACTCGAGAGTACTAACATTTAGTAAGAATTGCGCAGTAAATAAAACATCCGCGAGATAAAGATAGTGCTGACGATCACTTCCAGTCATTGCACGCTGGCACGTCCGCCCCCCCCCCCCCGAGCACATTAATTGATAAAAGATTGCGGAAATGGTTAGGG